ACCACCACCACCACCACCACCACCACCGCCACCACCACCACCACCACCACCACCTACCACTGTTCACTCTCGCCCACTCTTTCCTCCCCTTCTATTTTTCTCCGTCTCTCTCTTTCGACCCTCCTTTGCCCTCTCCCTCGCACCTCAATCACCGTTGGCGCTGTTCTGCACCCCTTCGGCGTAGCCCGACGTTCGACGTCGTCTTCACGTCTCTCACCCTCGGAGCAACGCGGCCGGCACGAAGGGTCGCTGGTTACGCCAAGCCCGAGGCTTTTGCTCTCACGCGAGTTCCTCACTCTCTCGACGAGTCCACCCTCGAACTCTCTCGCTGGTACCCTCCAGGTACCTCTACGCTATGCGTACTTCGTGCCGCGAAAGCGACTCTCCTCGGTACCGACTGTCACGATCAGTCGAGCCGACGCGGACCATTACTGCATCGCCACGCGCCAGTCCTTCGCGCAGCGGACTCCGCGGAAACTAATCACCCCGCTCCACGCCCGCTACACCTCATTCGCGATCCGCTACGCGAACTAACCCCCGCCACCTTCGTCAACCACCCTGCGCTCTGTAAAGCCGCGTCGCGATTCTGAGTCCGCGCCGAGACCAGCGTCGCGACGATCCCTCGAGGACGATTCGGACTGGCTGGCGGGAACCGAGGTGACGTTGCGACCATCTCTGGTCATCACCGCCGCGAATGAAATTGTCACGGGGGAGGAGGGGGGTAGCGATTTTTTTTTCTTTCTTTCTTTTTCCTTTCCTCTCGAGAATGCGAGCCTTCCCCGTGGCGTAGCGACGAGATACCGCCGAGACGGCACGGAGCGAGATCAATGCTCCGTTCAGGGCTCGTAAGTGCTTGCGTGGTGCGCTTCTGTAGCACAGGGTGGATCAATGAAAACGTACCCCTCCACCTCGGTGTCGTGGACGTAGCCCCGCGCCACCCTTTGCCGCGCCGCTCTGCGACGGAGGGAAACGCGGTACCATAATACCGCGCCACTTTTACTACCACCGTTTGCGGAAACATTCACCCGCACCCTCTACGACCATACCCGCGAGCTTCAGTAAGCTCGTCCGCGAGGTTTACCACCGCGTTGCGGATACGTTGCACCGTGCACGTCTTCGTTAACCCGATGCTCGAATTTTCATTTGGATGTGATTTGTTTCACTCCAATTAAGTACAGCGTAAACCTCTTCTCTCTTAAGTCTTTTCTCAATTCTGCAAATAAAATGTACGCTTACGAAGCACATTGACATAGATGTATAAGAATAAGAGATTAATGGAAAGTTGATGAATTAAAAGTCAAGATATAAATTAAAATAAATACATACAGTTTTCATATATTTGTGAAAAATATAAAAATATGTGAATACACAGAAAATACAGTGAGATATATCATCATAGTATGTTTAATACTTTAATATCAAACATAGGGAACGAATATCATAAAGAAAATTATTACAAAATGTAGTACAACTTATTGTAAGATATGTATATTTCGTAAATCTCGTGCATACAATCAGCGTTCAATTACAAATTACCTAGAAAAGTTCATTCGTTCGATGCATAAACTGACATACCATTCTCTCATAGCATATTTAGAAATAAATGTGATTGCTCCTATTCACTTTTTAATCAAGTGTCAACAAATAACATATCCTCTTCAAATATTAAAACAGAGAACTAGAGGAGTATTCTAACATTTCGCTAAGCGCTAATACGTTATGAGAGAACGAATTATTACTCACACTTATCACACTGATATCAGATCAGAGCTGCTAGTCGTGTAAAAATATATGTGTTGTATAAATATAGGAATATCTCTTTGTGAAGAACAATAGGTTGTGTAGCGATGTACCTAAACGTACACGCGACATACGAATAAACCACATGGCACACGAACGGTGAGTTCATCGATTTAAATAAGCGTTGCCATGCCGTTTCGGCATTCTGCGAATGCAGAGATACAGGCCAGTGATGACCATAATGAGCAAAGGGAGGCCGAGGCCAATCGAGATAATCATAATGACTAGAGAAGAGAATCTCTCCTCGGGTGGTGTACCGTATCCAATCATGAAAGTCCTGTAAAATTTAGAATGCAACATTTTATTAATTCAAGAGATTATAAAGAATTATAACTTGTCATTAAATATTTTAAATAAAATACGAGACTTAACAACAGTCTTGTAACCGACGACTCACCACGTCAAGTAATTCGTCTTCTTGTAAAAACCATCTCCTTTTGAGCCCAAGGAAACCATTATCTTTTGTAATAGAAGATTCATAGTTTCTCCATCTCCATAATAACAGTAGAGCATCGAATTTTTAATGCTTGTGTAATTGAACACTTGTTTCGGTGGATACTGGACTGTCTCCGTGGAACTGGTTACATCACGCGACGCGCTAATGTATGACACCGGCCGCCATTGTAAATACGATCCAGCATTCAGCGCACCATCCTGTTCACTGTAGGGTGGCGTTCTAACTTCAACAACCTGAAGAAAAGCATTAGAAGAAAGGTTAAAATAATATTTTCAATCAAAACATAAAAGCGATGATATAACTAACAATAGATTGTTACCTCGAATATACCCGGAGTATGCTCATCGTCCAGACTCTTTTTCGGATCAACGAACATCAGTACCTCGGGATTGCCACCGCCGACTGCGAGCAATTCAATAGCAAATCTGCTATGGACAAAAGTCTGGTTAGTCTGGATGTGGTCAAGGATGATGTCCACTTGCGTAGAATTCTCCGTGTGTAACATATGCGGCACCATGTCTGAATGGTCGACAGTGCAGAATCCTCGGAGCTGACAAGCGGACGAGAAAGATTTTAGAGAAAGATGTGCCACGTATATCACAGAGGACTAAAAAAGCCACATATATGCATATAGGGTGTCCCAGACGTGATATCCTTTAATAACAGATTCCTAAAATCATTTTAAGATGAAAATCTTAATACCAAAATGTCGAAGTTACAATAGTTTTTAAATGAGAAAGATATCAAATTAGCCAATTGAATTATACAAAGTATAAATACAATAAAACTATATAATTAAATTATACAAAGTAAAAGTGTCTAGAAGAATAGAACAGAATTGATGCTCACTATTGTGTCATGTCTGAGCGTATAAATTTTGAATATTTCATTGGCTAACTTTAAATCCTTTTTATTTAAAAACTATTGTAGCCTCGACATTTTGATATTAGGATTTTCGTCTCGTTAATTTGCTATTAATTGAAATCTGGCACACCCTGTATGTTTAATACAGGCTCAAAATGAAGTTGGTTCTCGCTTAACTGAGCCGTTGAAATTATTTTCACATGCGTCTCTACGTATTACCAATACTTTCTCTTCAATGCTGCAAAATACTTTACCGAAAGCTTTATACTCCCGTATCTGCTGATATTCTTAGCTGTATCGTGATAAGAGTTACCCTCCATATCCAGAGAGACGAATTCGCTATTTTGCAATAGGGACACGAGCCGCCAGTTGAAATACTCGGAATGCAAAACGTTCGTATTAGTAACGTCGGCAGTGTCAATCAGTGCCGTGTCATTTACATCGTTGAATTCGATAATCTGTAACATAATATATTTAGTATTATTCAACGTGCTATATACATATAAACGCTAAGGAATCATAACAGATGACAAAATCAGGTCACTGATGATAGTTTTCGCTCCGCGATGTGGAACCTACATAAATACAGTCACAATTTCTGTCGTATTATTGTACATTAGCGCGCAAGAAAATTAGCTGAATTAAACCGCAACGTTGTCGATACTGACGTGTCCCCGAAATTTCTGTCAAACGCAGCCGATCGATATACGATGCGGAAATCTGTTTGCTCACTGCTGTGAATAATTCCATGGCTTTGTACGCGACTATTTAATAATTCCGTCAACTAAATAAGGTGTACAGTGTACACTAACCGTCAATCCGTTAATTATATCGCTTTACAAAAGATTAATCTCGCATGGTATTTATTGAACGAGAAATTTAATGTTCTGATGATGCAATAGGCCGTAAATTGTTAGATGTTTACATAAGGTATTACATAAAATATTCATATTATTTTGCTGTTAAAATATGTTCTAGTATAACGAGATCGTAATGGAAATACGTATGTAATTTATGTAAGAGAATATGCTTGTATCTACATATTACGTATGTAGATATACGAGCATATTCTCTTTTCAAGCAGAAGACCCTCGTCTTGAAGAGAGGCTCTACGAAATGGAGACATTGTGAAGTGCAAAGGTTTAATTAAGAAACCGCGGATGTATTCTCTATAGTCGGCAAGAGAATGTGATGAGTAGATTTGTGTCACTCACTCGGATTTACGTCCGTGTCTAATGGAAGTAAATTCGAGCAAGTAATAAATCATAATCAGAGTAATATTGTATTTTTATATGCTATTTAAAATCCTATACGTGCAC